GTTGGTTGAGATCGCCTCGTCGGGACGTGCGCCGAGGAGAACGGGGGCCAGTAGTTCGAATAGAAAAGAGGTCGGTTAGTAGTTTTAGGGTCAATTTGGGATAGTTTTATATATGCTTTGTGTTTTAAGTTTTCACTGCATTTCTGACCGGGAAATTACTTTCTTACTGCTTTTTAGAAATTTTTTTGATGGAAAGCCGTGTATTTTAGCCTGACATGTTAAAGTACGGTGATTGTAAGAAAATTGGTATATAATTTTTATGAAAAATATTTATTTGTAATTTTCAGAAGTAATATTATCCATTAAGGGTGAAACTCATTTCTATATATATGAATTTTTACTTTTAAATGGCAAAATACTCATTTTTATGCAATTGTAAGGTATATATGTAAGAACTTAAGCTGAAATGCTAAATAAAAAAATAAATATGTAAAAATTGTATGTTATGTATGTATATGTTACTATTATTTATTTATTTATTTATTTATTTTCTTAATATTATGTTAGTTTGCGGCTTCGACTGCGGTGCTCAAGATTACTACTATGGACTGCTACGGCTGTGCTCAACGAGTCAAGCAAGCTCTTCGACAATATAAAGGTCATTATTTTAATTTATTTAATTTATTTTTTCTTAATTTAATTTGAAAATTTTAATTGCAATATTTATTTAACACAACAAATATCACATGTTAAAGTATCTAAACCCCTAATTATTTACATATAGACCACCCAATATATACTTATTTATTTACATGTTAGTGTGGTATGCATGTAAATGTAATATTATCCCTGATGTTTCTATAATTGCATTTATGCCCAGGGGTTTATCAGGTGAGCGTGGATGCCGATGCGGAATTGGCGAGTGTAACAGGAACAATGGACGTGGACTCACTGCCGGCGTACCTCAAGCATAAGCACCAAATTAACGCTGAGATTGTTCAGGTTAGATGAGAAGGAAGACGGTGAGGAGAAGAAAGAGTGGGTGACGGCGGCGACCCTGGGGCCGCCGGTGACAGAGACCGAGAAGATGACGAAGCAAGCGTGCTCGATTATGTTATGCCTGCGGAGCACATGCAATAAGGGTTTAGTGGTGCCCATACCTTTAGCTATTATAAATGAATATGATTTTAAAATAAAATGTTCAAAAGTCATGTGGAGTTTGTAGACATTTCAATGATGATGGGAGAAACTTGGCTAACTAGGCTCTATCTTACATGTAACCAAAGGTTGCACAAATATATATATATATATATATATATATATAGGAAAACTTTTGTCTTGTTGGATAGGGAATTGGTAAATATTTTTAATTTTGTTCCATATTTTAAAATAAAAAAAAAAAGAAATTTTAAATATCAACATGGAAATTATGAATAATATGATCCCTAAACATATTTTTATAAATTTTTATGATTTCCGATTATAGAAATTAAGTATATGGAGATTTTGCCTGCTCTAAAATATAAGAGTTTAGGGAAAAGTGGATTCGAATATCTTCGGGATTGAGTGATAACGAACACTCTTAAAGAAGCTGAGATCACCATTTATGGTCCTATTCAGTGTATTCAGGCTATTTAGCACCCATATTAGTAATGGTATTACATGCCTTTGAAAAAATTAGAATATTTATTCTTATAAAGATATTTATTGCTTCATGTATGAGAGTTTAACATGCGTGGATTAGTTTAGGTTGATTTGGTTTAAGGGTTATTTCATTAAATTTGACCTTGAAAAATTATTTAAATAATATCAAAAGAAATATGGTATCTTGAAAGATAGAAAAATCACTTTACAATGGGTTCAATTATTTAAATAAAGTTGTTTTGGATATTTGCATGGTCTGCATTTTAACCAACAAATCTTTCCTCTACTTTAGTTGAAGATTATAAAGAGTTTAGATTAATCTGGGTTTCTAATTTTATATAAGTGCAAACTCTTAAAGTTAATTATATATTAAGCAATACTGTTCTTTCAGAAAACTCTTGACTAAGACTATGATTTTTGTATTCAAGAAATTTATAAGTTAAAATTTCCACGATTGATGATTTGGAGTATCAAATGAGAAGGCTCAAAAAGAGAACAATTTATTCATGAAATCTAAAGGAGGTAAAAGTAGGAGATGTTAAAGATATTGAACAACTTAGTGACATATTAACTATCCTATTGAGATCATTTGACTTTATTGATTTTCATATTGATTTATTTGAAAATTTTACTCCGCATTTTATTAGAATATTAAGACTTATATCACATGATATATGATCGTGTGAAAACCTAAGAGGTGAGGATTTATGCTATCAAAAGAGAGAGAAATGTTGTGAACAAGGAACATATTGATCAACTATATAAAGGATAAAACGAGCCCAATACGACTGGTCCTATAGTCTTACTTGGAAATGATTGTCATATAAACTCATATAATCATAATAAAACCTTGTATGAACGGTCTCATGAAGTGCAGAATATGACAAACTGTTATTAATTATGAAGAGTAGGTCCTAACAACTTAATTATGAAAATCAAGATGTTCAAGTATGATTGTGGTACAAAAATATCTTATAGTAGTGCAAATTTATTTTTGGCATGATGACGAGGGAATGATAGCAAGGGGATGATAATGATAATTGAGTGATAGTGATTATGTCATAGTTATCATGTGATGATGCTTCGGGATAGTGGCCACATGATGACGACTAAGCAATAATAATTGAGCAATGATGGAAGGTGATACTACTTGAATGAAGATAGTTAGATAATGGAAATCATCAATAGGGACCATTAATGTTGATTATTGTGTAGTGTTGTCATCAACTCTAAATAGCGGTTATGATCCTCTTCATCTATTAAATGATGGCCCATGTTTAATTTTTTTAGAGCATAGTTTCAATTATTTTAGCCAAAATATCTAAAAAGTCAATTGGATGGTCAATATTGATTTCATTGCTCACATTTCATTTTTAAAATTTTAAACCCCTTAATGAAATAAAATTTTAGCAACATTAGACTTTTACTCTTTTTATCGAGGTTTTTTTTTTAAGCATATAAGATTTAAAAATTGTATGGCCATAAATAAAATCATAGTGTTTTAACTATGCTTGAAGTGATTAATTTTATGATAATTTAAGCTAATCACCCTTAAAATGGTTATAAAATCAACTCCAAAATCTTAATTCAGGTGCTTACATCAAGATCCATACATTATTAGATGATTTTTTTTGTGATACATCAATTAAAAAATCATTTAATTATACAATTTATTAATAATCTAATGTTTAATTCTTATGAAAGTGAAAAAAATTATGAAGAAGCTTGTTTAACTTCAAGACATTTTTGGGGCATTATTGTAATCCATACTAGAAATTATAGGTGTGTTAGGATTGTAAGTTTTATTGAAGAAACTAATATTTAGTATTAAATAAGTGAATAAGAGTATTAAGGATATTTTGAAAAATATTATGATTTAATCAATAAAACATTTTGTGCATATAATATACACTAATTAAATTGATATATTTACTAAGGGTTATCAAAATTTTATGAAATTTTAATAGTATATAAAAATGTCATGATATCTCAATAAATATATAATATTTATGATAATACTAAAAAAAATAAATAATTTATATAAAAATTCATTAAAATTATTACCAATTATTTTTTCCTTTTATATTATTTTAAAAATATATTAAATTTATTATTGTAATATATTCTCATTATTTAATATATTTTTGCTCTTATATTTCCTTTTATTTACTTTCTATTATTGGGTCTACATAAGCATTCTCTTCTTACTAAATTACTCAATTCCATTATTGAAATTTGATAGGGATGAATGAAAGGCATGAAAAGTCGGTTAAATGCTATATGATATTTATCCAAAAATAAATAAATTAAAATTTATTTTCCGATTATTTAGAGGAAAATAATTTATTAAGATATCATGATAAATTTTATATAAAAAATGATGCTTATTTTACTACATGC